TTTACTCATTTTGAGATCATTTTTGCAGTGTAGATATAATTCAGGTTGGATGAAAACAAAGACACACCACACTTTTCAGATTTCTATTGACAAAAATAATGCACTAGCTATTGCTTGTCCAATAAAATCCGTGAAAAAAATAAAAATCACACAGCAGTTCGTGATGGAAACCTGGCAAAATATGAAAGATCCTGAGTGATTTTGGGGAACTGATGTTCTAGAGGTTTCCTAACACTCCTGTCTCCATCTGTGCTGGGGAAGGTGTAAAGAAACATACCTCAATCTGTTTGTCTTTGAAAACAGAGCTGATGCTGTAGTTAAAGGATGCCCCAGAAAACATGGAGGTAACGGGGTAGGTCAGATCCAGGATCTTCTTAAAGTACGACGTCATACCCTGAACAAAGCCGGAGGAGGAAAGAGAAGAGTGAAGCAAGAACTTCTGTAAAACAATCAGAATCTCGCTTTGTTTTAAAAAATATGAGAAGGCGTCAGTAATGAGGTGAACGTACCATAGCCCACTCCCGAGCCCGGACCCTCATCCGACTGCTGCTCTTCTCCTCTGCATACAGAGCTCCCATGAAAGAGCCGATAGAGGTGCCGCCCACCATGTCCACAGGGATCCCCGCTTCGTTCAGCGCCCGCAAAATGCCGGTCTGAGAGCAGCCTCTGAAAACAGGTGCACAGGGTTTAACCAGGCATCCTCTGGCATATCAGTAACACTAAAACACATCAGAATAAATAACTCACTTCCTGTACAGCAACTAGAAACGACCGATCAAACAATAAAAGGGTTATCGTCGTATAGGAAGCTACAGCAAAGTTTCTCACATCAGGGCATCAGAAAAACTTCTGCAAATAAGTTCCTCTATGAGCCAAATGCAGCCTCAGGTTCCACTAAATCAAACCAGACCTAAATGCAGGAGCAGACGGGGGAAAGACGAGGCTCCACTTCAGCTAAATGATGATCGCACTGCAAAACTGATCTAGAAATAAGTTAAAAATGTCTTATTGACTATTTACACTTAATTTGAGTACACAAGTAAGATGATTTGCCAATTGAAATAAGATAATTAGTTAATATGTGTTTAAAATAAGACAATTGTGCAATTTATACTAATAGTTTAGTTCCATTGGCAAAGTGTCCCACTTATCTCCTCAATTCAAGAAAAAATGCATTTATTTTAAGAAAAAATGGCTTCTTTAGATTTTATTTTTCTGCAGTGCGGCTATTTCTGTTTAGCAGATGTCGCCTTTTAGCGCAACATTCAATCCAACTCCTTGAATCTTTTCTTTGATTGATAAACATTAGTTCAAAAATGCACAGTTCAAAGAATTGCAGCAAAAGTAGAAGGTCTGGATAGATTTGTTTCTCTTTAATTAATGAAATCTGCTTTTTCTCAGTTTTTGCCTGAAATAGAAAGTTGATTTATGATCTCAAATTTAAGGAATATGAAAATGCTTTTCATTGCACTGTAGATATTCAATAGCGTTATAATTAGCGTGCACATGTGTGAAACCTTTTGTGGTTTTGTCTTCATAACAATGAAGGTCATCAACCTCCAGCAAACTACGTGTCAATTTATTTCCTACAACTAACAAACCAAGAGCTCTGCTGCTTTCTCAGGTTGTCGCTAAATAGAATATAAACCGTACCTTGTCAGAGCTGCAGGACAAGCCAGAGCAGTGAGGGAAAAATAAAACAGATTAAACACAAAACAAAGACATTATTATGTGATCCATACAAACACAAGCAAACAACAGAATCCCTGATGTGGTAAAATAGGAAAAACTTCCTCTATAATCCAGAGTTCTTTCATTCAAAATGAAATAAATACTTTTATCATTAGGTAGTTAATAAATATTCCATCAAATAAATAAATGTCCCCATTAAAAAGTATATATTTAGAGATATAATTTTATTCATTTACTTAGCATTTATTCACTTATTAAATACATTTATTTCATTATTTATTCATGTATTAAATGTATTCATTTCAATGTTTTTCAAAATAAAAATGTGTGTTAATTTTATTTGGTAAAGCTACTTTAAGTATTTTTCGGGAATTGACTTTCAACTTTTATTTGAAAAATGATGAAATAAAGAAATGAAACATAAAAAAAAAAGTTTAATAAATCTTAATTTACATATATTATACATGTTAAGGTTGATAAATGAATGATTAAATTAGCTGAAAGTTTGTATTCTAACAATTTATTTACTCTTATTTTGTAGGGGCATTCAATTAGTTATTTGAGTGAATATTTATTGATATGTCATTAATAGTATTAATTTGTCTCATTTTGAATGAGACGTCTCTCGATAAATTAAAGCTTCTGTCTGAGGTTCAGGGTAAAACCCGAGGCGTTAATCAGAGCGGTGTGCAAAGGTTCCTGAGAGGAAAGCGTGTTTAACCAATCCGTACCTGGCGCCGCCTCCACCCAGAACCAAGGCGATGGAGTTTCCCGTCAGGATCCTGGCCAGGCGAGAGAAGTCAGAGTGACGATCTGGATGCTTTTCAAAGACCCGCTGGTACAGCTCTCTCTGCAAAACACGACAAACATCCTTTAATGTAGAAAAACAGGCCAACTGGGTCGGCACGGCCTCAAACCCAGAGAGTGGTAGGCACCAGCTTCGGTAGACTCCTTTTGGAGAACACTCTGCGGGGGCAGGAAAGGTGATGGTGTCTGGAGATCCAGCTCCGCATGTTGAGCCACTCGGCGGTGCCGCTGGGCGGCGGGCCGTCCTCCCTGTGCAGCAGCACCAGCTGCTTCTGAGCTCGGACCGAGCTGCTCTCCAGCATCCGCTCCAACTGCAGGAGGGGAGAGTCTTATTATTAATTATTAAAGAGATGATTGATCTCAATTAATCTCGAAGAGGGAGAATCCACACCGACCTCCCCCACAGTGGGCTCCTGTTCACCCAGTCCCACAATGATGATGCAGTCGGCCTGGCGGATGCAGCGCTGGGTCCAGGGAGTGAGGCTGGGGTCGGACTGGTAGAGGACGATCCGGTGGATGTCTTCCTGCTGGCCCAGCCAGCTGGACAGACGGTACTCATGGACGCTTTAACATGTAGATACAGATGGATGAAAGCAAGCTCTCTGACAAATTTTCTGTGAACTAATGCAAGAGAACAAGGCCTGCTCCCTTATGAAGCAACCAGTGGCTTCAACTTCATGTTTTTAAATCTTTCACCAGTCCCTGACTCACCTGTCCAGGGCAGCAGAGCCCAGTCTCTGTTTGATGATGTCACTGGTCAGCAGTAAGGCAGGGCCTGAAAAACAAAACAAAAAAAGAAACTAAACGTTTTTTTATGTAGAAACAACCTTTACAGAATATCTTGGAGCAAATTTAATCGGAACTGAATCCCTTTCTGACAGATTGTATCTTCTGTTCAGTCTTGCTGCTGTTGATTTCTTATGAATCAGGAGAACCACTGTAACAAGAGACAGGCGGCTGTTTTTCACCTCATAAAAGCTATTTAACGTCATGTCACACAAGGATCAAACATGTCTAGGTAACACCAGATCAGGTTTATTCTTCCTATCATGGCACCAGGTAATATTTCAGCTCAATGCTGGTGAAGATTCTCAATCATCCAGGTCATAGTCATTCCAAAAAAGTAAAAAAAAAAACAATCCACTGGACTTTGTTTTCATGTTTGAAGACGTTTCGCTTCCCATCCAAGAAGCTTTTTCAATTCAAAATGTCAGAATTAGAGTTCAAAGCTTTATATAGTAGCCCAAAAACTTGTTTTGGCTTAGAAAACATGCAAACTGAACCAGAAGAATGGGTCCACCCCTTAGGAACGGGGAGTCATTTTGGGTTCTTTGTTAGCCTGCAGTGGAAAAACAATCTAGAAATAAATCAAAATTTCTCAAATTAAGTGTATTTACCCTTAATTTGAGTAGGTAAAATGAGTTAGTTTGCCAATGGAATAAGTATTTTTGCTTTTAAAATAAGATATTTAGATAATATGCACTTGAAACAAGACAATGTAATTGAGTAAATTGTCTTGTTCCATTGGCAAAATGTCTCTTTTACCTCGTCAATCGGTTTCTTATTCTAAGAAAAAATGACTTATCTAGATTTTGATTTTTTTCCAGTATGGAATACCCGATACTGAGCTATGCCTCTGAAAGGGGGTTGTTAGGGGCAATTGTTGCTTGGCTGCCCAGACGGGATGTTTTGTTCCCTGTAAGGTGGTTGGGGGTTGAAATGATAGCGGGAAGGAATCAACTCTATTGCTGCATTGTAGGTTTTTGAAAGCTCAAACCTGAGTCCACCTCCTCTGTTTAAGGTTGTTTTTTCTTTCTTAACATAAATGGCTTCCTTCACACCCCTTTCAAACCACCTGTCTTCTTGGTCCAAAATGTGAACATTCTGATCCTCAAATGAGTGTCCCTTATCTTTAAGGTGCAAGGTGTTGTCCTGTTCGGAAAAGGTAGCCCATCTGTGTTGGGCCATGAGTCTGTGGAGAGGTTGTTTGGTTTCTCAAATATAAAGATCAAAGCATTCGTCAATGCATTGAATTGCAGACATCACTACACTCATCTAAGGTCTGGGGTTTTATCTTTAGGATGCACTATTTCAGGTCCATCCATAAAACACGGTGATGTACAAAAGAATTTAAATAAACCATTTAAGGTATCAAAGTCCACTGTGTATCAGTGATCTGTTTAAGTCTAAGTCTATAGTGTTTAGTGTTATTGTGAAGTTTAATTAGTAGCGCATATATTAATCCAGGGTTCCTACAGCGTAAGGCAAGTTCAATTCAAGACTTTTTAAGACTTTTTAA